TATAAGCTTGCTAAATGTCATAAATATGATTAATATTCTATTTGTATTAAACGGTATGACACTTAGAATAGGGTGATTGGCATAAAAACAACATATTGAAATATTGAATAACTAAATAATGAAAGATTACAATTTAATAAAAACGTGTGTATTATTACCAGAATTACATAAGCTTGTTAAATGAAACAAATACAATTAATACTATTTTATTTGTATCAAAATGCATGACACTCAGGTGCCACACTGTTCATGCATTGATACATTTGTAAAAAATAAAAAACTGGGGGCAACTGGAAGCAAAATAATAAAAAGCGAGGGATTTATGTAGAAAAGATTTTTTTTAAATAGTCGTTAGGGTAGTTCTGGAAGATGCACCAGTTCAAGTCTTACGTTTATTGCATTTAAGGACTTTTTTCTGTTAAGATTTGTGTTCAGGACCTTGTTAGTTGGCAGCATTGCAAGGCCAAATAGTTACACCAGGAGTATGTTAGGGACAGTTTGAAGTACCGACTTACCTCGACTCGTCTTTGCTGACTTCAACGTGATCATTTTTTTTGTTTTAGGATGTACAGGTTCCAGTCTGCCCCCTTTGCAATACTCCGGTCCCCGTCAGAAAGGGAGAGGCGCCTGATGTAGCTGTGGGGGCCCATATGGACCGAGACTGTCGACAGGATTCGGCCCAGCAGAAGCAGAAAGTAAGGACCTTCTTAAGAAGAAAGGCTCTCCAAACCTAGCTGTGCTGGCTGAGGAATTCTGGGAGTTGAAGTCCACAAGTCTTAAAGTTGCCAAGTTTGGAGACTTCTGACTTAGACATTTAACAGTGGTTTATATACAATAGTTATATACAGAAATATACATGGTAGGCCTTACAAGTAATACATTACAAGTAAGCAAAGTTCTTAACTCTACACGTGGAGTACTCTGCAATGAATACTCCACACAAGGAGAGACAGCATGCCCTCTATAATGGCTGCCTTTATATAAACACCTCTTAAAGGGATAGAACCCATCCCCAGTCTTAAAGGGAAATCCCATGCTATGCTGCATCACCATTTCATCAGCTTAACATTGCATCAGACTTACAGCACCTGGCAGCTATTACTGCTGCTGGTCAGCTCTTAAAGCTTAATATCTCAACATTCTCTGTCTTTAGAAAGTGACTTTGGGAATTGAAGTCCACGGATCTTAAAGTTAAGGTTGAGAAACACTGGTTGATGGGGAAGCCAGCTTTAGGGGCTGGGCCTGAACTGTGGAATCCAGCTCCCTGCTCCACTGCATTTTACTAGCATTTCCAATTTACCCAAGTAGGCCAACTATTCACAAGGGGTACTAAATATCGACATATAACCCAATTTACTGTGCTGTCCTTGGTGTTTAGATCTTCACCAACAAATGCTTCCAAGCGGGCTGCAGGAAGAAAGAGATGATGCGGCTGGTTTGTGACCAGTGTCACCAGAACTTCTGTCTTCATCACCGACATCCTTTGGACCACCAGTGCCCAGGACGGATTTGGCCTGTCTCCAAAGCTGGGTAAGGCTACTGGGCTGGGAAGACCACATGATGGACCTCTTTCAGGACGTGTCCCGAATTGAGTCTCGGTGGTTTTCAAAAATGGTTGGGCCTTGTTTAGAGACCTCTGGCGTAAGAATTTGTCCATTCCAGCTGGTTGATGAATTGAAGGAATCTGTTAACAGGGTGGCTACAGGATATCTTTCAATGAGGAAGTGAAAATTACAACTAGTTAACTTTAGTTAATGTTTATTCATTAATTTATAGGTTGCTGAGACTTCAAAACAGGTCCAGGTGGTTTATGAATAATGAAAAAGCCCGATTGCATCAAAGTAATAAACACACCAGATAGTTAATAATGAAACTTTCCTATTCATCGTCAAAAATCCTTCACTTAAATCCGTATTAACTTCCTCCCAGGTGTGCGGCTATAATGAGGTCCCTGCAATCCAAGAACAATGCTCCCAACTGTCAGCTCCTACAAAATGGGTAAGGTTGGATCTTTTCTGATCAATATAAGTAATCCCCATGCATGCTTCAGGTGTGCCCTGTTGAAACTTTAGCACAAAACTTTTATTATTGATTTCTGAATGTGTCTGACTTAGCCTGTTTGTACGCGTAGAATATTGTACACATCTAAAATCTAGCAGAAATAAAAAGTGAAAATAGAAGTTATGAACTTGCAAGAAATACTAGTTTGGAACTTCTGGTTAGCTAATTGCATTTTTGTTTTTTGTTCTTTCAGATGCAAAGCAAAAAGTTGATGTATACCACAGGTTTCAAACTCAATTGTGTCAGGTGACATATCACGATGTTTTATGCGTTTGCAGAGCTGGGCTGGGCGTGGCCTGCATCCAGCCCATCCCCCCCCTCCCAGTTTGACAGGCCTGATGTCTACAGTTGGGATCGAAATCTATCTGAAGTCTGTGGATAACTGTCCATCTCTAGCTCTTAAAAATTAACTGTACCCTTTTGCACATTTTGTGATTAAACGATTTCCTCATATTGTCGTGGTGGTTGCTTGAATTTAAATCACAGAACTGCTGAAGAAGAGCAAGATGAGCCGTACCTTTGAAGAACATGTTTTGCCTAGGATAGTGGATTCCTTGATCCAAAATGAAATTCGAGAAAACCTTAGGCCCTTTAACCCCAAAGTGCTTTTCCAAGAGGCAACTGGACTTTCTTGTTTTTCTGTGAAGAAGTTTCGCCTTTCATCCAAGAAGCGTCTTCAAAGAAAAACAAGGAAATCCAGTTGGCTTTTGAAAAAACACTTTTGGGACAACTATGACCTGGATAGCCGAGAAACTCCATAGACACTTAGGCCTTTAAGATATGGTGCTCCAGGATTTTTGATGGCTCTATTTGCATAAAATATTTCATAAAATAAAATAAAAACGGCATTTGTATTTGCATTTGCAAAGGAAGACCGAAAAAAACAACCACATCTTTTAAAGCTTGAAATCAAGCCATCCTTTTCTAAGCATCCTTAACCTATGAATGCTACACATTCTCGTGAGCAGAAGCATCAGCCTTAATAACGGTAGTCTTCATCTTACGACTGGTTGTTTAACAACAGTTCAAAAATAGAACAGGCATCCCCGGAGTTATTTATGACCCACTTTTGTGGGTTTCAACTCAGCTGGCTGGGGAATTCTGGAAGTTGAAATCCATGACTTCGAATTGCTAAGTTTGACCAGTCATTCAAATTCCAACTAACTGGAATATTGAAAAGAGCTCAAAAAGGACAAAGTTTCCATCGATGGGAGCAGGGAGTCTATTTTATTTTGCCGGATTTATTCCGACAGAGGCATGTGGTTATTTTTCAGGTTAGATTCCTGCTGAGTGAACTCTTTCTTTCCAACTTAGTTTTATTTGCAATATATGAATAACCCACAGGGTGTCGCCACCCACAAAATCAACCCATTTTAGGCTGCTGACTCCTCTTCAAAGACAAAAATGTAATGTAGATTTTTCCAAATCCAGCCTCCCAAAAATACAGATGTCAGGGTGGAATGCTGAACTTCTTTTAAACTCGGGTTCGCCCCCCTTCTAGAGTCAGAAAGGAGCAGGTTAAATGGGAAAGACCTGTACAAATTGAAGAAATATGTATAGTGGTTTAGTGGTGTTTTTTCCCCTGTGTTTTTGTATTTATAAAGTAGAGATTTTGGCACCAAGCTCAAAAATGTGTTATTTTTTCATATGGTTAAAAACTGAAGTTACATTTAATATAATCAATTTAGAAGAGAGGGTTGGATTGTGGGGTCCTTCACTGAACAAGTTTGCTTGCAGATGCTGCATTTTATCCAAGTAACATCAAAGGCAATTTGCAAGTTTTTATATTATTTTATTGCAGCTATGCTGGGCGAGGAACTCTGGGAATTGAAGTCCACACTGCTTTTAAAGAGAAATATTGCTTTAACACTAAGCAGACTAGGAAAAATTTTGAATTATGAGTTTTATTTTTATTTGGAAGGGGTATTTTTAAAAGGCAAACTCAAGACGGTTCTTGTGTTTCTCTTTTTAATTGTCTTAATTTATCATTTTAAACGTTTCATTTAAAGTAAACAGAGCATAGAATGGGTAGGAGAGCCTGGCACGCAGCGTCCAATCAGGAAAGAGGGAGAGAGCGCACGCGCCCTCCGCCCCCTGGGGAAGGCGCACCTCGCGCAGCCGCGCTGGCGTTCCTCGCTGGCCACTCCCTTCGCCCCGCCCCCGCCGCGTGCGAAGAGAGAGCGCGTGGATCCGGAAGAGTCGAGGTGGGGGGCGGGAGTTAAAAACCGGCTCGGCCACTCCTGGGAAGTGCCGCGAGAGGACGGGCGGGCGGCGCGACCAGTCAGAGCGCGGGGGCTGCCCGGGCAGCCAATCAGGGCTCGAGGATGGCGGGGCAGTGGCCAGAAGGAAGCCGGCGGGAAAAGGCGGAAGAGCGGCTGCTGAAGAAGCCGGGGAGGCCGCCGGGGTGAGGCCGAGGTGGGTGGCGGAGCCGGTGGGGAGGGGGGGGGTCGCCCACGTGCTCCGAGGGGAGTGATGGGCGGGGCATCTTCCCCCTTCTTTGACCTTTGACCCGTTTTCCTCGTCTTTCTCGCCTCGACCTTCACAACAACCCCGCAGGGTCGGCCAGTCTCTATTTTCTCCCTTGCCAAACCAAAAGCAGGCCCGCCTTGGGGGTGGGGAGGGAAGAGGAGGGGGAGGACTCAGGATGATGCTGTACCACAATGCCCCAAAGCGACCACAACACCCATGACCCCCAAACACCCATCAGCCCCAAGCGGCTACAACAAGGGTGACTCTGGGTGGCTTCTCCAAAGCAAATGGGGGAAATAACGACAGGCGGTCCTCGGCTTACAGAAGTTCGCTTACTTACGGCCGTTGTTCACACTTAGCGAATGTTGCAAGCATCCCTGTGGTCATGTGATCCAAATTGAGCCGCTTGGCAATGGATTCCATTTTATGATGGTTGCATGTCCTGGGATCCCTCTTTTGCGACCTTTTGACCACCCGCCCAAGTCAAGGGAGAAGCAAGATTCGCTTAACAACCGTGTTACATAACAACTGCAGTGATTCACTTAATGGTGAGAAAGGTTGTAAAAATGGAGTCAAAACCCACTTAGCAGCTGTCTCGCTTAGTAACCGAAATGTTGGGCTCCATTGTGGTCGTAAGCCAAGGACTACCTGCATTCAACAGCAAAAGATTTGCTAAAAGAAGAGGCAAGAATTAGCAGGCCCTCCCTAGAATATGAAGTCCCGGCTAATGCGGCACCCTCTAACTTGGGTTTAAAAACCAGAGATTTCCTGTCTCTGCTGTATTTTGCTGAACACTTTTGGACATTAAATGCAACATTAGTGCAAATCTGCCAATGAATGTTGATTGCAAAAGGTCTCATTTGGCAACTACGTATTTCAGCAGATTCTCTATATTTATTTTTAAATGCCCATTTATAAACATTGTAAAAAAATACAGGTATTTGTTTGCTGTAGTGGTTTTAAAGTTTCTGTTGTAGAATCAACACATAGAATATCTTGGGCGCACTGGATTTCCTGAAATTCGCCTTGGAACAGAAAAATTTCGAAAAAAAATAGATCCACTTGCCTGCAGATTGGTCATTTTTATTCTCCTAAAGATATGATTTCATGTCAGAATAACAGAAGGGACCTTGGAGGTCTTGTAGTCCAACCCCTGGATCAGGCAGGAAACCCTATATCATTTCAGATAAATGGTTGTCTAATCTGTTTTTAAAAAGTGCTTTTTCAAGAGTCCTCTGGACTTTCTGGTTTTTCTTTGAAGACTTTTCGCTTCTCATCCATCCATCCAGAAGGAAGTTAAATTTTCGGGGGGCAAATTTGTAATTTTTTCTGGTGAACAAACAAACCTCTTCGACACATACGATTTCTTTTTATTTATTCGTTCTAGAGTTATAAGTCACAGGAAAAACTGATGAAGGCAGAAAAGAAAAAACATCTTTCACCAGAAAAGAGGAAGATGAAACAGAAAAAGAAATCCGCAAAGCCAAATCCAAAACCACAAATGGCACCAGAGGAGGATGAACCTGTGCTGAAAAAACATAAACTAAATGTGAGTAAAATAAATATGCGTCATTTGATCCTAGAAGTGTTTTCTTTCACATTTTCAGCTGTGAATCCTACTTGTTCAATAATATAGGCAAGACAATATGTTATATTTTTTTTAAAGTTTCTTGATATTATTGCCAAGTGCTCTATATTTTTCTGTTTTCTAATCTGAGCGAAGAGAATCTGAAATGAGATGCTAAGAGAACCTATTGGAAGCCTGAGACTTTTAAACAGGACCCTCGCTCTTAATATCTTTCATACTTATCTACAAAACATATGCACGTAGTGGTTTATAGTCAGATGGAAGAATAGCAGACCACACCTCTTAAGCATATTATTATTATTATTTCTTACAGTATCTAATTTGTCTTGTGCCTAAAGATACCTTCTCTAGCCTTCATTTAGTATAGAATAAATAGGCGTACATAGAATAAATAGATGTAGATGATTTGGGATACAAGTATGCCCATCGTTGGTTAAAATTATCCTTGTGCAAAAGAATATGTGACCATTGCTGTGTGTCTTCCTGTGTGTACATTTCTATGTGCATTCTTACAAACAAGGGTAAATTTACTTGGCCGTGTTGCTTATTGCAAATGTGCGCCTTTACTTAAAGGTTGCACCTGAGAGCAAAGCCTTTTAATTCAGTCACTCTGGACCAGCATCTCACAGTTGTAGAAAACAAATAGGATATTTACATTTAACTGGCCGTTTCATTTCTGCCTATTTGCAAGTGAATTTGTTTCGTGGTCTGCCAAGGCATTGTAAGTTTTGAGAACATTTTTCCCCCTCTCTGTATATTAAACACAGAGCAGTTATCCAATGTTGTGCTTAGCCCCACAATCTGGCTTTTGTTAGTGAGACCCGACTGACCGCTTTTGACCTTCCCTGCTGAGAGAAGAGGAAATCCCTAGTATCCCCTCTCCTTGGTAGCCCCATAGGGACTAGGCTGAGTAAAGAGAAAGAAGAGTTTGTGTGAATTTATGGCATATACTGTTCTTCACAAGTTCACGTGGTATGGAGTCGGTAAGACAGAACATTGAAAACTTCCAGTTTGTAGCAGCTGAAGTATGCGAGCAATTAAACAATGGATTTGTAACTGGATTTCTTGCCTCTTTATGGGGAGGGTGGTGGAATTTTCCTTCTTTGGTTTCTCTATTCCTGCCTGATGGGCCAAATACCCCACCGTCTTCTCGTTTAATTTTAAAGCGAAGTTCGTGATACATGTACTTGTTAATGTGGGGAAAGGGTTTCTCTGATCTGTTGCTGTGTTTCGCTGAAATGTACCCTACTGGGTCTGACTGAGAACTTCTGTTAAAAGTGCAGACTTCAAACTTGATTTGATGCAAAGCTGCATCACAGCGTGATGGAGTGTTTTGTAAGAAGTGGAACTCAGGATTATGTTGACTTCCTGCCTCTCAGCATAAAGTTTATGGTTCTTTTAAAAAGTTTCTCATTTCTTTCCCTCTACAGCTAAGGATTTTGTCATTCCTGACATAGGTGTAATAGCAATAGCACTTATATACCGCTTTATAGTGCTTTACAGCCCTCTCTGAGCAATTTAGAGAGTCAGCCTCTTGCCCCCAACAATCTGCGGCCTCCTTTTACCCACCTCGGAAGGATGGAAGGCTGAGTCAACCTTGAGCCTGGTGGGATTTGAATTGCCAAATTGTAGGCAGCTGGCTGCAGAAGTAGCTTTACTCTAATCACTCTAACCACTGCACCACAGAGGCTCCTATGTAATGTTAATCTAATGAGCTGGGATTTGCTGAGTTCCAGAGGCCTTGCCTAGTCAGAATTTGGACTGTCTGGGGTTTTGTAATCCTCAAGTGATCATGACAAACTGGAAAACAAGAACAGGTTCATATCTTCATACAGAAATCAGCTTTCTGGAGGACCTGGACACCCCCCCCTCCAGCTATGGATGGAAGTGAGTCCAGAAAATTTAAATGTAGAACTGGTGGATTGTTGTGATGTGATGAGTATATTGCTGTGGACTTCGGTGACTTATTCTGATTTTATGGAATCTTACGAGCTATTTATGAGACTGGCACCCATTTAAGTTTTCTAAGTAAATAAACAATACCAGTCGTATTTGGAGGTAATCCAAGGAAAATGATCTGCAATAAGAACTCCAGGTCAAGGCAACTGGGTGTAAGGGTTATTGATAGTGGGAAAGATCTTAGAACCTGCCAGTCCTTTACTTTTGGGCAGAGATTGATGCTTGGTTAAAACTGGTGATTCCAAGCTCTCATCTTGGTCAAGTGTTGTGTGAACGTCTTTCTACTCACTGCATCCACCAAGCGTTGGAACAACTGCAACAATTTCCTTTGTAGTTTTAAAGGTGGAGAAGGAATGTCTGGATATGTCACAACCTGGTTTATCTCGGGTAACTTATCAGCCTTCCTGCAGTATAAATGCGTGCTTTAAAACAACAGAGCTGTCTGTTTCTGGAAGGCAAAACTGTCTTGAAGATATTAGAGAGGTTTCTTTTTATGCCTAACTTAACTATTAACTGAGTAGAATTTATTCACTCCCTTCAGGGACTACCGGTTTACTTTTCCTGCCTTGCTTCTAGCTTAATTCACCCCTTCTGCGTTGGCCACAAATTCAAGAAAACGCGGAGGGATTTGTTTGAAATATTTTATATGTAGAGATAAGGCTGAATAATCTTGCATTCCTTTGAATATTTTTGTAATAGACTGAGCAAATTTCCCAGGAAGGCATATCCACAGCTGGGAAAACAGTCCCTACTTTGAAAATGGTTTTCCCAGGCGAAAGGCTTCTATCTCCCACTGTTTCTGATATAAACACAATATTTGGCGTCCTATTTAGCAGAGTTCCAAGGGGTTAGGAATTCAGACTTCACCAACAGATCCCACCAACCGCGTACAGTATATACAGTATATACGTTGGGCTGTGTTGCCATTTCTTATATCGGACTGTTCCAAATGCGGATGAGTAAATAGGAACATTGGCTTCCATTTTGCTGGGTAGGCGGTCCTCAACTTACAGCTACAACTGAGCCCAAAATTTCTGTTGCTAAACGGAAGCGAGTTGTGCCCCATTTTATGTTGCCACTGTTGTTAAATGAGTCACTGCACTTGCTAAGTCAGTAACACAGTCGGCAACTGTCATCAATAATACTAGTCAGTTGACAAGCACCTGAATTTTGATCATGTGACCACGGAGATGCTACAACGGTCATAAGTGTGAAAAAATGGCCCTAAGACCCTTTTTTCCAACTTTGTGATTTGTCACACACACACACACACACACACACACACACACGAAAATATTCCCCAAGATTACCAAAGGACTTGGCTTCAAATGCTAATGAATCACTAATTGCAAATGTTAGTTTAGTGATTTGAATATGATATTCTCGTGTAATGAAATACGATAGGTGGTCATTTCTTTATCTTAATAGCTTTTAGGCTGGAATCTTTTCCTTTCAACTAGCCAGCACAAATAACCGTAAATAATTTCTCGGCTCTTCGCTGCAACCATCTCTAAGCTCACAATCCTTGCTTGCGTTAAAGAATTGGGATGCATTTCTGACTGAGCCAAGGCACATTTCAGAAGTGCAGTTATCCTAATTCCTTTCCTGAAACTCCCCAGCTCTGTGGAGCTTGGAGGGCGGCTGGCTTCAAGATCGCAGCAGCCGCTATGAGATAAGGCAATAACCTGCTTTGCCCGAGAACAAAAGTGAGCTGGCAAGCAGGAGCGCTTCGATCAGCAAAACTGGTGTTTATTCTTAGCCTTTGGTGTTGTCGTATCCCTGAGCGAGGAGAAGGGAGATAAGTGAAGTGTAAAAGAGAAGCTTGAAATGTCATCAAATCTGAATGTACCAGCTCAGGGAGAGCGCTTAGGGAAAGACTTGGGGGCTGGAGGTAGCTCAACTCTCAGGTTATGCAGGGAGTAGACTGGTGGCCCTGCTAGTCTTGGCCTATTAAAAAAAAAAAAGGCATTTAATTAACAGGCTCGTATCTCTCCTGATAATGAGAGCAATGAATCGGTGGAGCTGCTTGCCTCCACAAGTTGCGGGTGCTGCATAACTGGAGGTTTTACAAGAAGAAACAGCATCCTTTATCTGAAATGGTGTAGGGTCTCCTGCTTAAGCAGGGGTTGGACTAGAAGACCTCCAAGGTCCCCTCCAATCAATATTCCGATCGCTGGAAGTCGTGATTGAAGCGAGTTGCGTCCCTGGCTGTTTTGAATGACATCCCACCTACCAGGCGTCTCATAATTCCTTCTGTGGGTAGATGCTCCTCACGGGTTACTTCCTCGCTGTTTGGTGTCCCCCCCGCTCCACCCCAGAATGTGGGTGCCGTTTGCCGTAACCGCCCCGTGTCCTTCGTATTAGCGTCCCCGCAGAGGAAAGCTTTTAAGTTTATTAAAAGGGGGTCTGGCGTTCCTTGTCAAAACGGTGAGGGTTTTTATTATGCTCTCGTGACCAGCCCACCCGGACTCTTGGCTGTTCCCAAGAGCTCCACAAACAGATTTGCTCAGTTAGATAACTGCAAGTAGAAACGAGAGCATGCTGTTGGTTTAACATTTACTCATTGCAATGCTGGAAAGCGGCCAGGCCAGGCTGTGGCTGAAGGCATCTCTCTTGTTCCTCTTTGTCCAAAACTTTCCCACCAAAGACAAGAGGTCGCTTTATACTTGATCCAGACGAAATAGCACTGGAATCCCATCAAAATTGCAACAGGATTCAAATCGTAGCTGACATTCCATCCGCTTAATTTGACTGGGACCCAGCCGTAAAATACTAACCGAAGCCAACCCCAAATTATTCTTTAATGCAGCATTTTAAATCTTTGGCATTTCCTTGCATTTGGAGTGTAGAGAGGGGTGGTATTGCTATCCACAGGACAGATGAAATTCAAAGAATAATTGGGGGGGGGGTGTCAGTAGCTTGTCACCCAGCGAATTCTTGTTGCCTTTTCGCTTTTCATCTAAAGATGAAGTGAGATTGTGGATTATCTCTCAGCTGATTCC